TATAATGTGTGGGTTTTGTTTTATTTGGTGCAAACAGTATTAAAATGCTTGGATGATCTGCAGCGTGGTCATGTTCCACTGAGCCCCTATGCTGCTGATCCGGTAGAGCAACTGCTTCTTGTTTGCAAAAGCTTCTGCAGTTGACAAAGCAAATATCTGCCTTCATGTATTGCTGCAGAAACAATAGAAAGTACAGCAGGTAGATAAAAAGCTGAAAAGAATGTAAAGTGGAACAACTAAGCAACTACAACTAACAAAATAACAAAAACTAAAGATGAAACGATTTTGTTAACTTAAATAAATGAAAATTGTAATTAATGGGCAAAAATTTTAACTGGAACTATAAAACTAAAACTTACTGAAATTGTAGATGTTTATGATATTATTTCTCTTTTTCACACACAAGCAGTTTATGTCAGAAGTCGGCAAATTACTGCTGGCGGCTGCTACGCTAGTCCGCAAAATGGCGGCAGCAAAAGTTGGGAGAAAACGCCAGTCAGTTGGTTAACGCTGACTGCCAACAATAATTACATAGTTTTTTTTTTTTAAAAATACTGTTGAGGGTTTGTTCCCGACGTGTGATTAATCACAAAACGTTTACTTTTTTACTTCTGCGCCTAAAAATGAACCAAAGTATGAAAAAATTAAATCTACCAACATAGCTAATAAACGCTAAACTGAAACTAAACAATAGTTTCCGGTTGCAATAATTCAGTTAATCACATGATACATCAAAACACATTTAATTATTTTTATTTGCATTATTTATTATTTTTTATCTTTCTACCAAAAACTGGATAGCAAAAGTCTTCAGTCTGGTGGTTTGGCCTCACCTAGCTGTTTATTTGACGGACAATGCTGTTTACAGTCATTTTATAATTAATTTTGTTTGTTGTTTTACTTGTTTTGTTAATTTTTGATCATTAAAATGTCTTCCAGTCCCAGTGTTAAATATTAATTAGAATCTAACATTTATTAATTTTTGAGAATGTGTCCGTGTTGTTATACTATTACATTATATTACTTGAAAATAGTCTCAAAACATCAATATTATCGTTGATCGCAATAATTTACTGTCAATATAAACAATATTTAACTAATAAAAACAAGCAAGCACACTCTAAAAACTGATTAAAATTAATTAAATTACACAGAAAGTGACAATGAAATAAACTATAATGGAAAACCCAAAACTGTTAAAACCCTGAAACTGTGGCCGACATTCCTGCTGCTGCTAAGGATTTGTCCAGTGTAGTTGGCAGCAGTTGGTTTTGACTGGAATATCTGACAAAGCTCAAATTAGTACCTTTATATTTTTTACCCTAGTGGGTTTTTTTATTATTATGTTTTGCTTACCAGTAATAGGCGACCTTTTCGCCGAGGTTCCCCTCCCTCACATGTCTGTCCAAGACGTTATAGCACATGTTGGTTTTGGCTCCTTCCATGCATTTGACGAATATGTTGCCCTTTGTCACGTCAAAGTTGTACTGAAGTATTGGACCGGTGGCTGGTTTCTTCCAGAAGAACTCATCTGCAACCTGCTTCCAGAACGCTGAAATAAATTCACATTTTAAGACTCGTTTTAGGGTGGAATGCATTGAAATACAGCAGTCTTTTTCAAACTGCGGTAGTCCGCGGGCGCCCCCTAGTGGTAGTCGAGGTACTGCGCGTAAACGGCCGTTTATTTTACCGTGACGTCAGCTCAAAGTGCGACGCCACAGCTAGCTTACCAGAGGTTTGTCTTTAAAATAATAATGGATAAGTGGCTTAAAAAGCGGGTCACTCAGAAGACAAACTGAAGAGAAAACAACTTAATTGATCGGAGAAAGCTAAGTTATACCTTCTGGGAGTATAGATGTGTAATTTAGCTAACGATTCGATTCTTTTGAACGGCTCTGTGCCGTTAACGTGTCTTCAGTTGGTGAGAAGAACTGTTCTTTGTTTTTTACGACTTCGCTTGCTAATAATGCTCTGATCACTAGTCAGAAGTTATTGTTGTGTCTATCAAACAGATTTAATCAACAAATAAATACAGTTGATAGAAATGGATGGATAATTTGTATATTTAATGGTGCAGAAGATATTTGTGCCAAAGCAGCGAAAGTTTATTTTTCTTTTATTGTGCTTCTAAATTACAAATAAAATATTAATGCACACAACAAGATTTATTTTTTGATTTACATAATTGGAAAGTTTAGACTCCAAATTTTCAGAATCTATAAACAACTCAAAACACCCAGAGTCGATTTATTCATGGCTTTGTTGTGACCAGTCACATTTACAGTGCACTTCTCATTAGGACGAACAAAGACAACAAACAATAAGAGAGTTAAGAGCAGAGTTGGGTAGTAACTAGTTACATTTACTCAATTACATTTACTTAAGTAACTTTTTTGAAATGCCGTACCTTTAGGAGTATTTTTAATATGGTGTACTTTCTACTTGTAGTCAAGTGATTTTATTATGAAGTATCACTACTCTTGACTAAAATTTCCGGGTTCTCTACATGAAAAACAAACATTTTTTAAACAAAAATCCACCAGTCTCAGACACACACCTGTAGTTTTTGTTAAAGTTTCATAAGTTTTTTTATTGAAAGAAACTGATTTGGAAATTTTTTTATTTTACTTAAATGAATTATTGTCATTTTTGTCCTTACAATACCAAAATTTCTACTTGATCCATCTGATGGTGTAATTTTTAAATATGAAATGATTGATAATTTGATCAGTTACTCAGTACTTGAGTAGACTTTTTACCAAATACTTTTTTACTTTTGAGTAATTTTTTTTTTGGACAGCTACTTTTTACTTTTACTTTAGTAAAAATATTTTGAAGTAGTGCTAATCTTACTTGAGTACAATTTTTTGGGTACTCTAGTTAAGAGACTAATATTTTAATCTCCATGTTGTATTATTGAGGGTCAATTTAAGATTATTTGGTTCTTGAGTGTTTGTTAAATGGGGTAAATCATCCTCAGCCTGAAACGGTTTGGGATATAGAGGCTCAGAGAAGTGGGGAGTCTGACCTACCTTCTGGATTCTCCAGAGACTTCTTGTACATTCCCACATAGGAGCTGAAATCAGGCACATGTGCATCCCTCTGTAGGTCAGGAGGAGGGTGGTACAATTCTCCTTCAGATTCAGGAACAACCATTTTGGAGGCACAGAGGCAGACAAGTCGAGTCTTTAATGATGAGTCTTTTCTGGTGAATCCTGCAGAGTGAAGTGAGAACAAGGCCTCCTGCAATGAAGCAACACAATTCAGCATGCATAAAGACCCACCTCTAATCCCAGATCTGCAGACTGCTCCCTCAATCTGCTTAGTGTCAGGACAGCCAATCGGCTCGCGGGATGGAGCACTCCCACTTTTTGGTTGGATGGGCCTCCACTGGCATGCTGATCACATTATGTTTCCAAGCCAAAGGCTGGCGGAGGAGGAAGAGGAGGAGGAGGAGAAAGGCGTGGTATGCTGCGTGTTGTGGATTCAGGCTGATGTTTGTTTTCAGAGAGACGGTAATGCGCGTTCATGAGGAAAAAACACAGGAAGCAGCAGCTGTTTACTGGTGTATCAGGGGGTCCAAACTGTGGCACAGGGGCCACTTGTGGCTCTTGGAATGATTTTGATCAGCCCACTAACTAAATATAATTGTCCCAACCAAATAGAAAACAACTTTTTGAAATAGTTTGTTTGTCTTCACTGCAATAAACACAAAATCTTACCAAGTATTTTTGGTTTACTTTCAAGTGCAAATATATTAGTTTTGTCTTATTTCAAGTGTACTAACTTACACATAGCTTTTCAGCAAGATATAAGATCTTGTTTTAAGTCAATAATTCTTTAATATTGGTACCAGTTCCATTGGCAGATTTTGTCACTTATAAAAAGGGAAAAATGTATTGCTGTAAGTGAAATAATCTGGCAATGGAACAAGTACTTTTAAAAAAATCAATATTAAGGAATTATTGATTTAAACCAAGGTCTTAGATTTTCTTGAAAAGTTACGTGTGAGTTAGGTTTGCATAATTTCAAGTGTATGAAAATATTTAGATCACAAACTATATCAAAAATATTTGGTAAAACTTAGTGTTGTTGCAGTGATTAAGTTTAAAATCTTTAAGGATTCATAGATTTCAGAAAAAAAGTTTATTATCAAGCAAGTAAAGCTAAAAAAAACAGAGGGAAAAAAATCCCTAAATGTTTGCATTTTAAATGTACTTAATATTTTGGCCCCGAAGTTGTTTAAATTTGCGGGTTTTGGCCCCGGAGCCAGAAGGTTTGAATGCCGCTGTGATAAGCTATTGAGCAATTAAGCATGTGACGCTTTAGTTATACAAATAAGGTAGTCAGATTTGTTGTTGGTAATGGATGTATAAATTATTATAGATGTAAAACTTCAATAGGGTTTTGCAGGTTTGCCTTATTAAAATAAATGAATTTTTTTTTTTTGTTTGTTTTTGGTGTCAATTGGAAAAATATAGAACAAAATGTTTCTGAGCAATAAAATAAGGATTTCAGTGGCTCATTCTTTGAAACAACTTATTGTATTTAACCAAGTTTAATAAAATAATTCCAAGCAGATTTGAGGAGGCAGAGGGCAAATTTGTGTCATTCTTGAAATGCCACAGGCAATCAGTCCAGGGGCTGGAAATGGCACACATTGTAGTGTTTACAATGTGTTTACAATGTGTTAATTTTAGATATAAAATGTCATATTTTCTGTTTTTAACATTCTCTTGAGATGATTTACAATTACCTTACATGGGATTGTGTAAATAAGTTGACAAAATTAAGCTTCATAAAGTAAAACTATTGGATAAATTATGTATTAAACTGCAGTAATAACATTTTAACACAATACCTACTGCTAAATCAATTTCATTATACTTCAATTTTATAAAAGTGTATGTATATAGTGCCAATTCATACAAAAAATTATTTCAAGGCACTTTATAAATAAAGTTTTAAAGCAAGCGATCAATCTGGGATTGATTTAGTTACACAGAAACTGAGAAACGCAGCATGTGACGTCAGATCGTACTAATCGAGCGCCGGTGTAGATGTCCGCCGCCGCTGTCCCGTCCTTCTGCTGCTAACACGAACTCGAAGCTTCAGGATGTTTTTATCTTCTGCAGTTCGATCTGCTGTTTCGCAGGCAGTAAGTTTGGGGTTTTTCGCAAATGTTAACTATCTCAATCAGAAGCTGTTTGCTCGGCAGATTGGAGAAGAAGTGCTGTGACTCTTCGCAAGGGCATGTAGCCCGGACAGCTATGCTAGGCTACGCTAGGCTAGGCTAAGCAGCGTTTGATAACAGTGACAGTAGCAGGTAGCTTAGCATCAAACTATCAGATATTTATAATTTGAAAGCTTGACAAACAAGACTACATAAAGGTATATCTACTCCAAACGTACATCTTTGCAGACAAATTCGATACGTTAATGATTTGTGTGATTTACTTCGGATTTACAGCTGAACAGGAGAGTTTTTGGTGTTGATTTACACAACTGTACGTCGATTAAGTAAAGCAAATAAATATGACTATATAAGTATTTGAACCGTACCATCCGTATTTAAATATTAAATATTGGTTTATGCTACCATGTGAAACGTCGCTAATATAATAATTTAAGTAAATAATATATAATTTAAAATGTTACCAGTGGTTCAGTGAGTGACTTCTGCTATTCTTGTTTATGTGCTATGATGGTTAAGGTTCTTGCAGAATAATGCTTCATTTTTAGAATTTCTTTTACAATCTAACTTTAAATGCTGACTTTTTTTTTTTTACATGATCAGCGTATCGTTTTATGCTCTGCAGTTTGCATGTGCCTAACTCATCATATAGCTTTGTATAGAAACAGGACTTGTGTGCAGACTCCATTTTGAAAAAAACAAACAACAAAACAAACTAAAAATTTTAGCCAAATATATAAAAGTAAGTTTTTGCAAATAGTGGTTCTGTGTTTGTAGTGCTTTATATTTACTGGGGGGTTTTATTTTCCAAATTATCAGTTTAAAATGAGACTTGACAGTAAATGGGATTGTAAGTAATCCTGCTAGCAAAGCATACATATTTTTGTAGGTTAGGTTATTTTTTTATTATTTATATTTTGCCTGTCTTCCTCTGTGTTACAGGCCAGGCAGGTCAGAGGTTTGCATCAATCTGCTGCACGAGCTGGAGCTGGAGGCATATTTGTGGTGAGTTTTTCAGTTTCAAATCAATATCCAGGACATTATCTCAGGAAGGGTCCTTATTTTTATCATATACTCAGTGTTGTCTGGATAAAATTGCCAAGTTGAAAGTACTCAGGGCAATATATTTTGAAATAAAATTTAAAATATGAAAAGCAGTGAATTCTTTTAGTTTTGCCTGTGCAAAAATAATTTGAACTTGAAATATTTTAAAGAGACAAATTTATTGTAGATTCAAAAAAATGAGTCTTAGGCATTTTTCCTTAATGAAAGGAAGGTGTTTGCAAATGTTAACACCTTTGTTAATGAGGAATGATACACAGTCTCAGTCTGTGTATCATTCCTTCTTTCCATTTTCAATTGACAAGCAAAAGACAAAAAATTGAAAGTTGATTGGTATTTTATTTGTTTTTGAATCGAAAATAAACAAACATTTTTAATTTTACCGATTAATTACTAGGGCTTACACATGACCTGGATATTGTTCTACAGGCAAAAGTTTGTTTTGCTTCCAACATAAAATAGTGTAAACATGAGACACTTTAGCTTTACAGCATTTATACAAAAGTCAAACTAATGTCACTTACAAAAATAGTCAAAAGTTATTTTAATGCATAATTTTGAACATGAGTAGCTTAAGTTATCTTTATTAAGCACAAAGGTACAGTAAGCAATATTAAATAAACTCACTGGCTTTCTTATTATTCTTCTAACCAGATCTTCTCCTGAATTCAGCCTCCCTGATAATTCAAAGATTATCTAATCTTTGGATCAGTTTGTTTTCCTAAAATGTTCGAAATTCGGTGCAGTCTTAGAAAAAAAAAGAGATTTAACACCTGCATTATTTTTGTTTTGTTTTTTTTGTTTTGTTTTAGAAATGAAGTTGAACTTTGTGAACGACTCTCAGGATTACATTATATTAATTCTTCTAAATTAATCAGCCAATAACAGTACAGAGAAATTATGGCCCCCGCCTCACTCTGCACCATGTTTTTACTTGCTTAATCCCAGGAGCGCCTATTTTTCCGATTGTTCCCTTTTTATCTAGGGAATAACCTTTATTACCTGTTAGGCGCTCAGACAAACATCACATCCATCAGAAACTTGTATCTTTGCATATTTCTCTTGTTGTCAGAGACATTTTAACAACAAAAACCAGCCAAGGCTCTTCTTTTTATTTACATTTTTTTAAAGTTGCACAAAGGGGCATTTGCTGCTCACAAGGGGGCAGTGTGTGCAGAAGCAGAAATAATTGTCTGTTATTCGTCTCCTCCTTTCTGTAGTTGGAGAAAAACACCTGTTTCCTCTCTGGGCTTTCATGGCGCCGTCCTGGTTAATCTTTTGTAAACAAACTATTTAAGCATTAAACTAGCTGTTCTGAATCAGCTTTTTAATGCAATAAATTTTAACCTTTTAAGGTGATTTTTTTTCCCCAGAAGTTTGTTGTTATATATTTGGTAGAGACTGCATGAACTCTTTATAACCCAGTGTGTATTCTATATTTTTTGTTGTTGCTTCAGCACAGAGACACGCCTGACAACAACCCTGACACTCCGTTTGAGTTCACAGCAGAAAACAAAAAGGTAAGAACGGCTTCTGACGTCTGATCTGCTCCCCAGTGGGTTTATTTACATGTTTTTCCAGATCTTAGGAGGAAAAAAGGCAACTAACTCCTGACAATAAATAAATACACAAAACAAATGTTGTTAAAGGGCCAGAGGTATATTATAAAAATAAAATCTTAGATTTTTTCATATCAGATCTAATATCCATTGTTTTTTATTCATCCAGCACAAGCAGAACATTAATTAGAAATAACAAATGTAGATTTTTTTTTTTTCCTCATGCTTCTCTTCCTTGCTGCCAAATAAAAACCTAAAAAAAAGAAAATAAATGTATAAAAACTTAAATGTTGCCCTGAATGATTAAAAGCATAAAAACAAATGAGATCAAGACAGTATGAAATCTGATTTCCAATTTTAATCAATTAGGTTTTTTCCCCCCTACAAAATGAAATTACAGAAAATATTTTCAAAATGTATCTTTAGTTTCTCTGATTTGTACAGTGCAGAATAACAGCCAGGTTACCAAAATTTTTGTTTAGTTACAAGAATATAGTGATGGCACAAAAAAGACACAATTTTACTAGAAAAAGAAAACAAAACAAACTAAAATTGCAAGAAAGTTGTTTCAATGAGGAAAAACGTTAGTTATCAGACCAGTTTGTGTAAGTCTTTCTTTGAAATATACATAATTATTTGCACAGTCATGTCAAAGTCCTACTACTGTTTATAATTTAATACTGATGTGATGAAAGATTAAGGATTTCTATGAAGTATTGTTTGTAAAACCTTTATCAAAGTATAACTTCACAAGATGCTTATATTTTTATTTTCTGTGTTTGAGTTCTCATAAAATTCTGACTTTATTTTTGTATTATTTCAACTTTAATGTTGTAGGACTTTATATTATGTAATATTATGATTTTAGTCTCATAATTAAAAAAGAAATGTAAGCCTTTATTCCATCATAGCGTTGACTTTAATTCAGATTCCAAATAAATAAAATCTGTCAACATGCTTGTGAAACAAGATGGCCGCCCTGGGCGCGGTGACATCACTCTAACCTGTACAACGAGTGCATCGTGAAAAAAAGTGACGATTTTCCAAAGAAATAAATCTTCAGAAACAAAAAATTGGATTGACCGATAAAATCAGTTTATCGCCTGGCTCTATATTCTTACATTTTGTTTGCAATCATTTTTGTGGTGTAACTTTTATTTTTCTGTAGAGCTGCTTGTTAATGAAGAATAGCTTGAATATTTCAAAAATAAAACTTCTTTGAAAATGTCTGCTTTTCTAAGAAACATCTAAACACTTTGATTTTCTGATTATAAGTTGAGAAAGAAAAACAAAACAATGCTATTGAAGATCCTCTGTTGTTTCTTTTGCAGAGGATTGATGCGATCCTCTCGATGTATCCCGAAGGACACAAGCAAGCCGCCACCATCCCAGTCTTGGATTTGGCCCAAAGGCAACATGGATGGCTCCCCATCTCTGCCATGAACAAGGCACAGTAATTTCTCTAAAGCCTCTTTTAAACTCGCTCCGCTTTGAATGAGCAGAAACGACACAAACAAACCGACTTTGTCTTCTCTTTAGGCCTCTGAGTAAAGATTCTGATCATCTGATTAAATTAATCATTGATTTAAAGAAAGGTGCTTGAAATGTCACCAACAGTGAAGCATTTGTTTAGTTTTTTATAGTTTCTGAGCCAAAAAGAAAATTTATTTGATACAATTGATGTTTGCAGATACAGATTCTGATGAGTTTTTATTTTAAGTGGCAAAATGTCAAGAAAACTACTAGATTTATAGTTTTATGTTCTCATCTTCTGTGTAATTTAAATAGCATATTTGCTCTGATGATGCAAAATGTAAAAATTTGACGTCTTTTGAGAAATTCAATGCAAAATTTTCTGAATTTTATGATTGTTTTTTATAAATCAGAAACGATCATAAATTCCTCTAATAACTTTGGTCAGTGAATTATTTTAAATAGAGATATAATAACAAATGCAGGTTTTAGTGTTTTGTTTCTTTTTAAATTGAATAATTACATTGACCAGTTCCTTTAGAGCAGTGGTTCTTAACCTGGGTTCAACCGAACCCCAGGGGTTCGGTGAGTCGGTCTCAGGGGTTCGGCGGAGCCTCTGCCGCGGAGGTAAAGACACACT